ACTGGGGACACAGGAAAGAAGAAGAAGGGGAGAGTAGCACAAGGACAGGAAGAAGCTGGGGCCCAGGGGGAGGTGCACACGGGACGGGCTGTGGGTCCAGGGGGGCGTCCAGAGCGGGAATGAAGCAGGAAAGTGCTGGTGACCGCCAGAGAAATGAGCCACAAAATATGCAGAAGCCATTTCCTCTCCCAAGGAAGATAAACAATAGATTCATAAACAAATTTCACAACGCCGTCCAACTATTTAAAGCGTTCTGGTAGGAACTCGTATCCTCTGTGAGCAAAAAGTGAATCTCCCAAAATGTGGTCAGTAATTATTCGGGGGAAAGGAGACAGGAAAGGGACACACTCCTTCCCAGTCTGGCACCTGCAGCCAGTTACAGGTCCTCTCTGTGCCTGGGTTTGCTCTCCCGTGAGCAAGGAATAGTCATTTCTGCCCCCCAGGGCCACGCTGGAGAGAGAGAGAGAGAGAAAAAAGATACACTTTTCCGCCAGATACCCTACTTGACCTTCCCAATGGAAGCAAATAAAATGCTGGATAAAATTTAAAATATAAAAACTGTACATACATTGCTGAGCTGGTACAAATGGAAGGATTCTTCAAAGACCAAAAACAAACCGAAAGCAGGAGCCCTGGGAGGCCATCCTGAAGCAAAGCTGGCTCTTGTCCTGAGGTTCCTAGACATTCAAGTTTCCCAGGGGAGTTGCTCCCCGCCGTGAATGAGACAAAGCACAGCACAGAGGGAGCTGCAAGGAAAGCTGGCGTTGGGCCGGGAGGGCCTGGGGAAGTCTTGACTGAAAATGTGTACCGAAAGCTGGACTTCGCACAGTTTTGTAGTTTGAATTCAGGCCACTTCTGTAGCCAGAAAAGCCTCAGGTAAAAAATCAAAGTGATTTTTGGTTGGTGGTGCCCCTAGATCAGTGCGGCTCTTTGGCCCCTTGAGTGTGGCTCTTCCACAAAATACCACGTGCGGGCGCGCACGTACAGTGCGATTGAAACTTCGTGGCCCACGCGCAGAAGTCGGTATTTTGTGGAAGAGCCACACTCAAGGGGCCAAAGAGCCGCATGTGGCTCGCGAGCCGCAGTTTGCCGACCACTGCCCTAGATGACTAGCAGAAGTTAATGCAAATCCTCTCTGGAAAAGTCAGTGTCAACCCGGACCTCAAAGAATTCTCAAAGATAAAGTTGCAGTGAAAATGAGCAGCTCACAGAGACGACAGAAGACAGCGAGGAGGTAGGTACAACAGCAGCACAATCAGGCCTGTAGAAATGGCAGACTCTGGAATTACCCGACATGGAATCCTACAATTTTCCAACAGCTACTTCAATATGTTAGAGAAATAGAGAAAGAAGTGTGCAATACGAACAAGAAATAAGAGACCAGAAAATCACCAAGCAGATTTGAAAAATAATGAACCAGAACTTCTAGAAATAATAAAAAAAGGAGCTGAAAGGAAAAAAATTCAATGGATGAGTTAGATAGCATTTGAGACACAGAATAAATTAGTCAAATGGAAGACAAGTTTGAAGAAATTATTCAGAGTTTACAGAAAGACAGAGATTTAAAATATGAAATAAAGGATAAGAGGCATAGGGAATTGCCAAAACCGGTTTGGCTCAGTGGATAGAGCGTCGGCCTGCGGACTGAAAGGTCCCGGGTTCGATTCCGGTCAAGGGCATGTACTTGGGTTGCGGGCACATCCCCAGTAGGGGGTGTGCAGGAGGCAGCTGATCGATGTTTCTCTCTCATCGATGTTTCTGGCTCTCTATCTCTCTCCCTTCCTCTCTGTGAAAACTGAATAAAATATATTTAAAAAAAAAAAAAAAAGAGGCATAGGGAATAGAATGAGAAGGTCTACCATACGTCTAACTGGAGTTCCAGAAAGAGATATTAGAAAGAACGGGAGAGACGTGATATTCAAAGAAATGAAGAGTGAGAATGTTTCCAGAATCACTGGAAGATACCCATCTTCAGCTCTAGGAATCCCAACGAACACCACGCAGAATAAAGACAGAGGAATTTACTCCTCCTGACTCCACAGGGAAGCTCCAGAACACCAAAGAAAACAACCGGCTCTTGAACAAAACCAGAGAGAAACGCCAGGTCAGATACAAAGGAACAGCAATCAGGCGGACAGCCAGTTTCTCAACAGCAACATTCAGAGCCAGGGCAGTGGACTAACGGCGTCAATGACCTAAGAGAATATATCCAGTAAAGCTACCTTTCAGAACTGAGAGCAAAATAAGGCGTTTCAAGCCAACAAAAACAAAACACCAAGCCAGACCAAAAGAAAAAAAAGTGAGACTTTACTACCACAGTGTCTCACTAAAGCAGTGATGGCGAACCTTTTGAGCTCGGCGTGTCAGCATTTCGAAAAACCCTAAACTTAACTCTGGTGCCGTGTCACATATAGAAATTTTTTGATCTTTGCAACCATAGTAAAACAAAGATGTATAGTTTTGATATTTATTTTATATATTTAAATGCCATTTAACAAAGAAAAATCAACCAAAAAAATGAGTTCGCGTGTCACCTCTGACACACGTGTCATAGGTTCGCCATCACTGCACTAAAGGATGATGCTAATAGATTTATATTAGGAGGAAGGAACATGATCTCGGATTCATGAAAGAATGGTGACAAAAGTATTGGTAAGTGTGTGAGTAAATCTATACAAACAATGTATGAAACAATGATGTCTAACTTGTAGGTGAAAACAGGGTAGAATAAAATCACAGGCTAATAACTCTGTACACATTGGGAGAGGCAGTGGCTAGAAGTGAACCCATTTACGGTTCTTGCATTGTTTGGGAGGAAGGTAAAGACACCGATTAATTTTAGACTTTGTCACGTATGCCTGTTAAAATAGATGGGTAGCCACAGAAAGAATAGATACAGAGCATATAACTTCCAAATAAGAAGACAAGGTGGGCTGGGTGGAGGGCAAACGGAGGGGGAAAGGGGGACACCTGCAATCATGTCAACATTGAAATTTTTTTTAAATGATAGAATCTCTAAAAAAAACTCACTCTCATTTTGGAAAATGCAAAAGAACACACTTAAATATACATGTCCAGACAGATGAATACTTATTGTATTTTTTTTAAATGGAAAATAAATGAGTACATGATTCTGGGGGAAAAGAATAGAATAAGAGGTGAAAATATCTCAAGCAAAAAGAAAAATCAGAAAAAAATGGAAAGTATGTAAAGATGGTAGAAATGACTCCCAATTCATCAATAAGATATATACTGAGTCTAAACATCGGTGCACCAAATTGCCTTAAAATACATAAAGCACAATTTTCAGCACTGCGAGGAGAAATTGACAAATCCAGTGAGAGATTTTTAACACGTTTCTCTTAATAATTGATAGATTAACCAGACAAAATCAGAAAGGAACACATTATAGATGAGCTGAACAGTACAGTGAACTAACTTAGATGCTCATATCTAGAAAAATATATTCCATAATTACAGAATACTCATGCTTTTCATTCATAAAACATTTAAGAAAAAAAATTGGAAAGAGACAAAATATAAAAAAGGAACACACAGAAGTGGCTTAAAGCTTACTTCAAACTCTCTCGAAGGATCCTATTTTGTCTTAAAAAAGACAGAGACGTTGTCTTGCTCACACATGCATCTAGAATCTAGCACAGTGATGGTCACAGAGGAAGCTCAATGCGCACAGTAAGTCCTCACGTAACGTCATTGACAGGTTCTTCGACCTCAAGTGAAACGAAGTAAAACGAAACCGATTTTGCCAGAGGCGAGTTAATATAAACAAGAGTTAAGTTACTACAGCATCTCAGCAAGGTATACGGAAAAGGTGTTAAAGGAAGTGACGTTATTCGAGGACCAGCTGTACCCGTGACTAGTGAGTGAAGGGCTCTCTCTGAAGAACAGCCAGGGTTAAGTGAGCAACTGCAGGTAATGAAATCCTTCCCCACACGGAGGGAACAAGAGGACAAGGTGAGTGGCGTCAGCCTCTGGGGAGAATTTATACAAAAAAGGGAAGCAGAGCCAGGACAGCCATCTTCAAACCGGAAGAGGGAGTCTGTCTCTGAAAGCTGGTCTTTGTGGTCCACATGGCAGAGCAGAGATGGAGAACGTACAGAGAGAAGTAATTTGTCCCTGTGTGCTCTCTCTCTTCCATCGCTCAAGGTTTGTGTCACTCTCCCTCTTTCTCCTAAGCTCCAAGGGCCCTTCTCCTACTGCTGTAACTTTCTAAATAAACTTTCCCTTATCATTAAAAAAAGAAAAGGAATAAGAAATTGTCCCAATATTAGGAAGAACTTTCTAACAATTCACTGTTCATCATTGGCTGGGCATTGGCCTGGCTGATCCTCTAAGGCCCCTCACAGCCTTGCGTGGGACAGGAGTTTCTGTCCAGAACGTTCTAGGAGGCCCAGACCACAGACTGACCGTCCTTCCAATGCCATCCTATTCCAGAGATTCCTTCACCCCAAATTCCCTGGATCCCCAGTCCCCAAAAGACCTGCCAAGATCCCAGTTCAGGAGGTAGGGGAGGAATGAGAGCTTCAGTCCCTGGAAACTCAATTCAGGGTCCTGCCTGCTCCACCATCGGCCTCTCCATTAACCAAAATGAGCACATTCTGTCGAATTAGGCTGACACCCACTTCCTTTCTCTTGTTTGTTTGTTTTAAAATATATTTTTATTGGTTTCAGAGAGGAAGGGAGAGGGGGAGAGAGCTAGAAACACCAATGATGAGACAGAATCATTGAGCAGCTGTCTCCTGCACGCCCCCTACAGGGGATCGAGCCACAAACCTGGCATGTGCCCTGACTGGAAATCGAACCGTGACCTCCTGGTTCATTGGTCGATGCTCGACCACTGAGCCACACCGGCCGGGCACGACACCCACAAGTCCCTGGAAACTCATTTTTCCCCACAGATGGGGAAAGATGACAAAAGCACATAGAATAAGTTACGACGGACATTCCTACACCTTCCAGGAGAAGGGACGCAAGCTCACCTCGCCCTCCGCAGCAGATGGTCGAGTTGGGGGCCTGGCTCTGGGGGCTCCTCCTGCGGCTGGCCGGTCATGCTGCTCTCATGCTGCTGGGCAGGTGGGAAGAGGAGACCTGGTTCTGTGGGGAAAAGAGGAGGAGAGGTCACGTCTTCATCGCCTGCTCCCAGCTTTCCATCGCCAGCCCCAGAGGTCACTACCCAGACGCCCAGGGACTTCCCGAGGATGGCCTCGCCACTCTCGGGTCACGGGCCACAGACAGGCCTACGCGGGACAACATTTCCCACGCCCTCCGTGTGCCAGGCAGGGCTCTAAGGATGAGGCTATGAAGATGAACCACACACAGTCCCTACTCTCAAGACACTGTCTAGCAAGACTAGTTTTCATTGCAATGTAATGCGGCAAGTGCTGCGATTTCCCCAAATTCACTCCACAGCCCACCTGTCCCTCAGGGGAGGAGGGCAGAGGCGGCTTACAAGTCGACAGCACAGGGCTTCTCAAACTACTGTATTTGTGATGAAGGACCAGTTGTCTTTAAGTTCCAACTCATCACAAATGAATACTTTTAAATAATTTTTTTATAAAAATATATTTTATTGATTTTTTACAGAGAGAAAGAGAGAGGGATAGAGTGTTAGAAACATCGATGAGAGAGAAACATTAATCAGCTGCCTCCTGCACACCCCCTTCTGGGGATGTGCCCGCAACCAAGGTACATGCCCTTGACCGGAATCGAACCTGAGACCCTTCAGTCTTCAGGCTGACGCTCTATCCACTGAGCCAAACCAGTTAGGGCAAAATGAATACTTTTATAAAACACTAGAGGCCTGGTGCACAAATTTGTGCATGGATGAGGTCTTGCGGGCCCTGCCCCCGATCGGGGGGAGGGGGGACAATCCGGGGTGGGGCCAGACGATGAGGAGAGGCCGCAGAAGGTTGGCTGGCTGGTCCCGCCTCCTGGTCGAACTCCCAGTCCAACTCCCGATCTCGAGGGGACAATTTGCATATTAGCCTTTTATTATATAGGATAATGAAAATGAACCACGAGATAAATAAAATGAAAAATATTCAAAGTACAAGCCTACTTTTTAATTGTTTAATTCAATGAATGACTCTGTCGTATCTGTACGGAAGTTTCGAAGTGCTTACTCCCAGTGTCTGTACTTTATTATGGGCCCATGACGTTTGCAGGCCAGCGCCATGCCACGAACCACAGTTGCATAGCATCACTAGAATAAGAGTTTATAGAGTGCAACTTCTCCTGAGCTGTCTGGCTGATCTTGGTTCACAGAGGGTGGCTGGAAAGGAAAATGTCAAACTTGCCCTTTGGACTAGCCTTCAGAGAGCTCGGCGAGTCTCTCCAGGAAGAAGAGCCACGGCAGGGACTTTGGGAGGGTGTGCGCTTGGGGTGATGGACAGAGGCAGTGGGTCCAGGGAACACGAGCAGGAAGCTCACGGGCCCTGGTCACAGCGGTGCCTGCAGCCCTGTCCTGCTGCATCCGGGACTTCCAACCCTCTGTTGACAAGCCCGGCCTGAAAGCAAATCATTTCCAAAATGTCAGGGCAGCTGCTGGTGTTCGTGCCTCCTATTTAATGCTATAAAAATACATATTTTTTTAAACTTGAGAAATCCTTTGTCTGTGACAGCCAGTTCCAAAAAAAGCCTGTGAGTGCCTGTTGCCTTAATACTTAAGGAAGTGATTACAAGTCATTTTCACCCATTTGAATGTTTAAGAGAAAGTACTCCTCTAAGCTCTCAGCTTTTAAGTAGTTCTTATTTTAAACTTTATAAGGAAATAACTCTACCGAAGAAAAATTCTTTTCAAAGTCCTTTTTTAAAAAAATGCAAACACACACACACACTCTCACTCCCGGCTTCAAATGCTAAATCATCTGCAATTTGGGAGTTTGTTGCTCATGAAATTCGGGCGATAAGCACATCATAAGCATTCCTACAGCAACAGAATGCTTTTGAAGCCATGTCTGTGATGTTACCAAGATTGTATATGATTATCTCTGAATGTTGGCCAAGAGAAGGTTATGGAAATAACTATTTATGTACAAATAAGTCGATATAGTAACTGGCAACCTGAATAGCAGACCACGGCATGGTGGGAAGCAGGAATGCAGTTCCCTGCGCGCCCATGAATAACTGTGCTGTCCGTACTCGCAGCCTGGGAAAGTAGCTCTCCAAGGTCCCCCACAGCAACAGGAGTCCTTGGAACTAGTCTCAAGGGCAAGCGTTAAGCTTCGTCACCTTGTACTGGCCATCTGCTGTATGTCAGGTGCTGCGCTAGACCTTAGGGTTCTCAAGGTGCCCCAAAAGAGACATAGAAACAGGTCATTACGGCCCCGCACCCCTGCTAAGAAGAGTCTTTTGGCTGGAGTTAAGGAAAAGGATTGGGAGGTAACTAGCTCAATCCACCTATCCAACCAACCATTTGTCCATGCCATGTTGACTGAGAGGCTAGTACGTACTAGGCAAGTACAAGGCGCTAGGCGTACGACAGTCAAGACCAATGCGGCCACTGCCTTCATGGAGCTTATAGTCTAGTGGGGGAAACTAACATTTACAGATTAAAGAGGACTCGAACTACAATAGTGATCTGCCCTAAAAAAAAGGCTACTGCTATAGTAGCCTATGATAGATCAAGCACAGAAAAGGGTCAGTGGTCTTTCCTAAGGAATCAGTCTTTAATCTGAGCCCCAAGAATAAGTGAGTGAAACAAAATAGGGAGGGCAGCAGAGAAGCTGGGTAAAGGTCCCGAGACCGGAAGCACGGTCCATTCTAGCCATGAAAGGAGGTTCTAATAGGATCAAGTAGGTTCTGGACCTTAGACCACGTTTCCGTCACCGTTGTCTTCAGGGCAAGCATTAACGACATGCGGGTTCTTTAAAAAGTGCTTAAGACGATACCAGGAAAATGAGGTGCATATCTGCTCAATTCTCCCTCGTCCTAGGCTGGCATCCACTTTATAATAAGTGTTGGGACTCATCGATGTTCTCTTCAACAGCAGTAACTTGGCTAAACCCAACTGGGCCCATGGTAAACGGGGTGGTCAGTGCTGACCTAGGCTGACCGTGAGTGTGGGTTTGGGGATGCGGGCGAGCATCCTATCATTAAGCTCATTGCGGGAGACGCCTCAGGATGGCTGTGACTTGACAGGTCATACAGTTTAACGCACAGAACATTAAACCTGGGCTCAAATCTGGCCATTCTTCTGTAGGACGGGTTAGCAGGGCCCTCCCTGCATGGTCCCCGGCCCGCAGCAAGCACGTAGGTCCCACACGGGGCTCACTGCCCGGCTCCCAGGAGGCCTTGCACATGGGGCCGCATTACTATCACCTCACACCAGTGGGTGGGGACAGCCCTGCCTCTCCCTGGCCTGGAGTGTCAGCAGAAATCCGTGAAACGATTTCCCATCCAGTAAGGGGCTGCAGGGCAGCTTTGCAAGGGCACAGGGGGCAGCCTTCACTGACCAGGGGGCCTGGAGACTCACCATTTCTCGGTGTGTGTGTGCCCTCAAGGGTCCCCAACTCTGCAGCAGCACTGTCCCTACCGAGTCACACCTCAGTGTTCCCAGGTTCAATCTCCGCAGGGGAATCCCGATGCCACCTCTGGGGGCTTATGGGTAGTTCCCCCAGGAGCCAGCCTGGCAGCCAGCAGAGTTCTAGTTCTGGCTCCACCAGGAATGACTGGGGTTCCCTTGGACAAACAGCCGAGTCCCAGATGACAGAGGAGATGTAACAGCTACATACAGGTCCGGCGTGTATGACTTCATAGACAGTTACAAGCCCTCCTAGGGCATCAGCAATGTCTGATAAAAAAAAAATACCGCCCTGACTGGTTTGGCTCAGTGGATAGAGCGTTGGCCTGCGAACTCAAGGGTCCTGGGGTCGATTCCAGTCAAGGGCATGTACCTTGGTTGTGGGCACATCCCCAGTGGGGGGTGTGCAGGAGGCAGCTGATCGATGTCCCTCTCTCATCGATGTTTCTAACTCTCTGTCCCTCTCCCTTCCTCTCTGTAGAAAATCAATAAAATATATTTTTAAAAAAATACCACCCAGGGCTATATTTTTATTGGAGAGAGAGAGAGAGAGAGAGAGAGAGAGAGAGAGAAACACGGATCAATCGCTTTCCGTACACGCCCTGACTGGGGATCGAACCCAAAACCTAGGTATGTGCCCTGACCAGGAATCGAACCTGGAACCTTTTTGGTGTGTAGGACAACACTCTAACCCACTGAGCCACCGGACGAGGCACTGTCTGCTTTTTCTCACCACTGTGTCCAGGGGCTAGCAGAGCAGTTCTCAGACCTGACTGCACAGAGTTAAGACAATCCTCAGGTGAGGACACTGAGGCCCGCTGCTTATCCAAGGCCACAACCCCAGTGGTGGGGCTGCACCAGGCAGCCTGGAAGGCTTACAGGACGGAAACCTTACTTATCTCTTTCCCACGGGACCAGCGAGGACACGGCCCCGGAAGGACCCACAGCCGGTAAGCCGCCAGGGAAGGCCAGAGTCTCCCCACTGCCCCACACTGCTGTCCGGGCCCCCGTTTCCCTTCTGCACCCTGGTGGCGACCAATGCTGCCTTCCACACCACACTGCTTGTCCGAGTTTAGGGGGGAGTGAAGATTTAAGAGTCTTGGGGAGGGGAACAATCAATATACAGAAAGGAACGCTCTACATGGGTATTGAGGGGCCCAAGCCAAAGAGGAAGGGTTCTCCGCAGCCACAGGGCAGTTTTAATGAAAAGAACAGCTCACAGGTCACCAGGCTGAGGCGAGGGCAGAGTCAGGGGAGGGAGGGGATGTGAGATGTGAACTGCGGAGCTCCTAAAATGGGGAGCAGGACCAAATGAAGTGTGAAGCATTCCCCATGCCACCCACAGTCCATTAGAAGTTGGCACAGATTGTTAAAAGCAGGAAAAGGAGGAGGGAGAAGAGAAGGAAAACCAGGAGGAGGGGGAGGACAGGGAGCTGGAGGAGGAGGAGTTACATCTGTAGATTTAATCCAAGAACACCAAGAAGCAGGGGGAGAGTAAACAATGCAATGAGGAATCTGAGACTGCAGTCTCTCGGGGGCCAACCATTCTGTCCCATGAGTCCTCCTGGGAGGG